GCTTAACTGCAGTGACTGCTCTGAGAAGTAAACAATCCAGTAAAATAAACTGCTGCAAATTCTCACTCCGGGTTGTATCATTCAATTATTACCTTGCTTATTCTCTTTCCCTAAACAGCTTTGTTCAAATTCCCCTACCAATCTATATACTCCTGAATTTTTATCAGCTATATGTCTTCTCTCCAGGCAAAGCCCACCCTTCCTTTTTGATATAAGACTGTGTTCCCTCTTTTCCAAAGCACTTCTCAATGTCTATATGGAGTATTGTTTTATTGTTTTTGTAAGGCACATTCTTGGAATTAGTTCCTGCTTTTTGACTAAGGGATGACATGTTCTATAAAGTATTCAGAGTCTAAATCTGACAGTGAGAGAAAAAACTATGATGTCTCCCATTTTCAGAATCAAAAGAATGGCTAATGTCAGAAAGCAAAATAATAAAAGACGACCTTAAAATAATATGGTTCACAGGGACACCGACTTTTAGTCTCAATGTTCAATTCATCTCAGTGCACATGCAGGGTGAGGACTGTAAAGACTAATGAGCATGGCAGAAATATACACAGTAATTCATCATCATAACAATGAGTAGCACAATTATCAGGAATTTCCTGTAGGCCTAACACAATTACATGGAAACAAATTGTTTGGTCTGCTCAGTTAGAAGTGCAAGAATGTGGGACTGAAAAATAGAAACGGATTGTTGCCACTTATATACAGAAATCATCTTTTTATGATATGACAAATGTATGATTTGGCTTTTTTGGTTTGTACACTGAAATAGTATTCACTGCCTGCCCAAATAGGTCTCCATGTTCTGCAACAGGACATGTCACAGAAAACATAGGAAGAAGAGGCAGTTGACTGCAGAGGTAGAGGTGTTAATGACATCTTTCTCATGCTTGCCAAAGACTTTAATACAGCAATAGTTCTCAAGACTGGAAGGAAAACCTTTAATTAGTTGGGATTTACTTCAAAAAAAAAAAAAAAAAAAAAAAAAAAAAAAAAAATCTCTGCTTGGTGTTTCTTCCTGAGAAAAGACTAACATCAGCATCATCCTGTGAATAATTGGGTTTGGTCCCACTCCTGGTTTTCAGCTATCTGGAGTACAGTTTAGGCTGCTGTTTATTTGACTTTCCTCCCAGAGGATCACTCTTCTGTAGAAAAATTAAAGCTATGCAATGCTTACACAGACATTTTTTGCACTTCTGATAGCAGAGAACGAGACTCATTCTGAGTAAGCACTAATAATAGACAACACTGCAAGTAGATGCTGGGGGCTCACATGGCTGAGAGACATAATACTAGAGGCAAAGTCACTGCTGAAAAAGTCAGATAGATTGCATTTGTTATCACAAATCTCTACTGTGTTTCAGTGATCATGACACTAAGGTAAAGTAGGACTTTGAGAGCAAAAGTCTAATTAAAATAAGTGGGCGTTATATAACCATGTTTGGAAGGCAAATTTTCTGCAGTATTCCTTAGTGACTAGGAGCTGCCTTTCTCTAAAGCATTTATACAGTTCAGCTCTAGCAATTTAATGGTTGGGAGATGATAAGAAAATAAATTAGATTTTGGTACACAGCGGTCAAATTAATTTCAGGGGTATATGGAACTCTTAGAACTTAGGATCTGTAACCATGTCATGACCCGTATCAACATTAAGGTCCCAATTTTTCAGGGAAGGTTGGATAGCACACATCACACAATTGCTTTTTAGAACATATCATCATGCTGCAGAAGCGTACTGTATGCAAATGTCATGTTTCAAAGAATACTTTAGCTCTACCAGGTTATCCGTTGTGCTTAGGACTGCACTGGTGAGGCTGGATACATGTGGACCCAAGGAGCAGATTTACCCCTCAGCCCTTTTTTTTTTTTTTTAATTGGCTTGTCTCTGTTGCGTTTGTGGGTTTTTTTCCTCACCTCGTTTACTATATTGATCTTGTCTTTCCTCCTGTTTCTCTCCTGGTTACTTCTAGATTAGCATCAAGATGGCAACTCCCATTCAGAGCCCCACTTCGCTCCCTTCTGCTGAGTAAAACAGCCAAACTTGGCAAGGGGAAGATACTCATGAGAAGCAATAAGCAATGGGGTAAAGTTCTGGGATAGTCCATCTTGGGTGTCACAGGTTTGGTGATAATCTGTCACACTGCTGCAAAGTCCAGGTAACAAGTGCAGCCACTGCCAGCACTTCTCTAAACTACACCCATGAAGGAACCATGTAAGGTGCAAAAATACTGATGTTTACTCATTACGTCTGAGCCTGGTTTGCCAGCACTGCTTTCTCAAGGAGTGCTGCACAGAATTCAGGTAGTTTCCAGCAAGGAGGAGCCTGCTACAATCAATAAACATTTTACAAGGGAAAAGATATCAACCATTAAAAACAGCCTCAAATGAATTTCACAGGATTGCTGAATTCTGCCAAATTCTTTGAATTCTCACAAATCAGTGTCATCTACCCTTAAACCTACAGATGTACTTTTCCAAATGTAAACAACTTCCAAATAAGATTTTATTGCATTTGAATATTATTCTTGTCATGTGCTGTGCTTTCTTATTTATCTTTCAAATAATTTTGTAATAATTAACTTATGCATTATGTGGTACAATGTGTAATCTCTTGTGACAATAACTCAAATGGTTTTCATACCATCTTCCTCTCTCTCTCTCATTTTGTTTTTACTCCAGTGTAACTAGTAGATATATATTCTTCCTCATATGAACAGAAATATTTCTGTCTCCTTTTGCTAACTGACTACCAGCTCACACATACTAGGGCAATGGCTAAGTAAAAGTATCAATCTACTACAGTTTTACTTCCAGTTGTTACAGAGCTCACTTTCCCAGGAATTCTGCTGGACCTTCATTTGCAGAGCTCAGGCATTCATCAAAACTACCAATTCATCAAAACCTGTTCATGGAAATAAAAAGATTTGTGGGGTATTTTTTTTGTTCTTGTATTTGTGATGGGCATCAATGAGTTGTATATGAACTCTTCAAATTACTGTTTAGTCAGTAAGGCACACAGCAAGCACTCAGTTCAAACAAGCAAGGAGCAAGCTCAAATCTTCATAGCTTTGCTTAAACAACAGCACATTCTCATTGGGTGACTAATTACTGAGTTTCACCAATACCACTCAAAGATGTGGCCCTATTAAACCTTCATTCTGGATATCAACAGAGAAAGCGAGATCCTGGAAGTAACTGAGCATGGATGGAAGAGAAATAATTTGTTAGAAGATTAATTATTCTTAAGCTGAATAAAGATGCAGACAGATCCATCTCATTTTATCATTTGAGTAGAAGAAACAGGGCTAAAGCCATAAAGATCTGTAATTCTGACAGTGATCTAAGAACACGCATGACACGCATAGAAAACCTACAAGGGGAAATGCTGAAAAATCTAGGAGAGAAGAAAGTGACAGCAAAAGAAACAGAATCAACAGAGATTCGAGACTTGTCTTGCATTTTAGTTGTCTTCAATCACATCAGTAGTAGCCTGTTACTGTTCACCAGCTCCATATCCCAAACCTATCTAGGTAACGGTAAGAAAATTCGGGAGAGGAAAATTCAACTAGCAGGAGCAGGCACAGATTAAGCACTTATTTTACACAAAGCATTCTATGCACGTGTAAACCAAAATCCAGAATGAAAACAGCAAGGTCTATGCAAATAGGGATGTATGAGGTGAATAACTTCTTGGAGCCTGTTCAGCCAGTGCTGGCACTAGAAAACTCTAACATCCTGTAATAAGAAATAGAGTCTAAAAGGATTTATTAAGAGTATTAAGCCCACCTTGTTGTGAGAACAGGACTATTCTCAAAATGCTCTGAGCAGCAGTTTCTAGCTTAGCTTTAAATGCATGAAACAATGACTCTTCTAGTCCTTGAAACATATCCAAGCTTGGGATTCAGTAATTAGTGACTTTTGCAGTTCTCCACTTACAGATGCTATATATACACAATAGAAAAATCACAATTTACATTATCTGGGCAAATATCAGAGTGTGCTAAATCAGTGACAGTGTTTTCTTATCTGCATTTAGGGGCTATATGGATGCAAACTCAACAGCTGCTAGACACTAGCATGGAAAAGGCGTCCACTTTTTACATCACAACCTAATCACCTAATCCTATTACTCCTACAAACACAGCACCTCAAGGAACATCTCCAGACAGTCTTTTCCTCCTTGCTGTCAAGGTTGCTTATGGACATTTGTAGATATTCATATAACCTTAGTCAATGATCTGAAAGACTTTTCACTTTTTTTTTTTTTGTACATTGTAATCTAATAATATTTCCCTCCGAATTGCCTCCAGTTCACTGCACTGTTAATTAGCTTTTATGCATTGCCAGAGATGGATACATCTCAGCAGTGACTTAAGTGATTTCTCCATAGCTTCTGGTTCAGTTTCCATTCATAAGACACTTCAATGTATAGTAGTCAAATTATTTTCCCCTTGTAATATTTCAGCATTTACATAATATCTCTTATCCTAAAGTTAAAAAGTGCACAGCCACTGAAGTACTAATGTTTATCTTTGCCTGAAATACTCAAGCGGCAAGGGCAATATAATTTTTCCTGACTATCAGGGTAGTATTTTCTACATGTCATGTGGATTATTAAACAAGAATAGCTGAGCTTTGTCTTAAATCCCAATATAATAGCACTTTAGTTGTTTTTAGCAATATTGTTTTAAGCCCAAGTTTCATATAAAAAAAAAAAAAAAATCCCCAACCCTGTAACCACTACAATACCTATATAAGACAGTCATGTGTCACTGTGGCAAAGATTTCTTCAGACTGAACAGCACACAGTTTTTCATGCACATTTTAAGGACTTATTTATAGCTCACATACACTTTCAGTTTTTATTACCTACTTGTTAGAGACAATTTGCATTAGTAAACAGTTCATGCAGTGTCTCAATCTCTTAGCATTACAATGAACATGGCTATAAAATTATTTAGCTACATAATACCAGAATGTATCTGACTTACACAAACGTTGAATAATTTAGAGGTGTAAAGCAGAGGTTTCCCAAACTGGTGGTCCATAGACTCTTGTCAGTGGTCTGCAGCTGTCTGGTTACATGGTGCTCATTCCCTACAGATAGTGGAGGGAGAAGGTATTAATGAAGAACAAACAAACAACAACCAAGGAAAAATATTTCAGTTTATGGATAGCATTAAAACATTTTTTGCTAAAGACTGTAGCCCTACAGTTTCTCCTAATAACTTTTGCGTTCGATTATGATTTTGTCAAATAGATTGCTTATACTGAAGTTTTCTCTTTCAGACTGTTTTCTCTTTTCCAATCCACCCATTTCTGAGAAGACTAAATATGTTATTTTAAATATATTTTTAACAGGCAAAACAGTTAACAATCTCAGAAACAGGTAAAAAGAGAAGCATCACCTGGCTTAGGAAGAAGCTTGCTGATGACTCAAATGTGAGTGTACAAGGAATGGAAGCAAGGAGAAGCAATGAAACAGGAGTACAACTGCATGATTTGGGACAATGTCAGGAAAGCCAAAGCCATCTGAAGCTCAAATTACAGAGGCTGACACAAGAAGGGATACTACAGATCCCTGAGCCTGCAAAAGGAAGCTCAGTGAAAACATGGGTGTGATGATGGGTGAAGAAGAACTAGTACTGAACAACTAAATGCCTTTTTTTAACTGCCTTCACAGACAAAGCCTGTTCCTGGACCTCTGCATATAGTATAGTCTGCAAAGGAGAGGGGCAACCAGAAGCAGGGGAGCGATAGGCCAGGAACTGCTTACAGTCTGGACATACTCAAATCTAAGGGGCTGGTTTGGATGCCCACAGAAGTGGCCAGCATGACCACCTATCACCTGTGAAAAACTGCAGCAATCAGAGGAGGTCTCTGATGACTAGAAAATAAGGCTAATATAATATCCATTTTAGGGGAATGATGGCTACAATAGATACAAAGCCACAATTCAACACACAGGGACCTTAATAAACTCAAGGACTGGAACAGCAGAAGCCTCATGAAGTTCATCAAGAATGGTGCAAAGTTCTGCCCCTGGGGAGGAAAGTCACAGTACAGCACAGGAACCTACTGGGCAAGTAGCAGCCTTGCAGAAAAGAACCCAGGAATGACTTATCACAATAAGTTGTAAAGAAGAATTGTATTTGTACTTCCATTTCAGATGTTATCCTCTCACCTCTGTCTCTAAATAATTCTGCTTCTTTCATTCTCCAGTTGCACATGAATAACACCCACTAGGATCCAGCTCTCCATGCCCTCATACTTCCCACCTCACGTGTTTCACCATCTCCAGCTCTTGTCTCCTGCATCCCAGGCCCATGTTACAAGCCTGAAAACACAAGTCTAAGTACAGTCCTGGGTGCTGTGCAAAGGTCCTGGGTGCAAGCTAAGGAGTCACACAGGAACAAGTTTCGGTTCCTCATCTAATGTACTTCCTACCCTGCTGTCTTCAGGCCACCTTTTAGTTCCATGGCATGCTTGAGATAAAAAGCCAAGCTCTTAACTGGGGAAACACCTCACACTACCTCACTGCCCCCAAAGGTAAGAGCCTAAACACAAGCAGTGAGGCACAAAGTACTGTAGTGCAAATATTCTTTGGTTACTGCATATTTATGGACTATTATCCCCAATATCTTCAGAATAATACAAAATACTTTAATCTAAGGTGATTTAGCTTATTCTTAAAGGTGGTATACCTCATTGTGAAAGAGTTGCTGAATTTGACACATGATTATGTATGTAGAAGAGTTTTGGCCTTTTTTTTTTTTTTTTTTTTTTTTTTTTTTTTTTTTTTTT